GCGACTGTGGCCACAGCGCGCACGCTCTGCGCCTCGCTCTGCCGCCCTCGCCTGCAGGGCGCTGCGGTGCCTGCTCACCCCACGCGGGCTGACCGCCAAGGAGAACCGACCAGCCACAGCTGTGGGAGCTGTGGCCCTTACCCCCCTGGGGGCAGCCCATCGCATCGACGACCTCTCTCGAGAGGGGTGTCGAAATCGATGGGGCCACAGCTCCCCCCGTTGTGGCTGGCCTGGGAGAAGAGAAAGGAGCGGATGCAGTGCGGGCGCGGCCGCAAGAACCCCCGCAAGAAACCCAACCCTGAAAACCCGCGTGCGAGGTGCACCTGTCGGGTCGGGCGAAAGGGGGGGATAGCAAAGGGGAGGTTTGAGAATCAGCTCGCGTAGCTGATTTTCCCGGCGCCTCCCGGCGCCGGAGGCGGCCATGTATCGAGGAATGGGCCCCTCGGTGAGGCCGAAACCAGCTGCATGCAGCAAATTTCGTAACCCCCACTTTCCCAATCCCCCCCTTTCGCCCGGCCCGAACCTGAGGGGAAACCCAGAGCACCCTGAGCGCGGCAGCTTCTTCAACGGCTGCGGAAAGTCACCGCGCAGCGCGCGGAGCGAAGAAACCCAGGGTACCCTGACGAAAAGCAATGGGTTTCTTGGTGCGCGCACCCGCTGTATGGACGAGAAGGACTGGGCATGCTTGCAGCAAGGTCGTGTCGTGAAGATCCAGGCGACGGCTTCTGACACCGCGTGGAGACCGTTCGATCCCGGACGATCGGCGGCCTCTCGATCGCCGGATCCTTCTTCGTGTTGGCCAATCGAAGGCCCCTAGGGGGAGGAGGAGGAGGAAGAGGAGGTGGAGGAGGAGGAGGAGGAGGGGGAGGAGGAGGAAGCCGTGCCACCCTCGGGCGCGGCCGGACCGACCCCTGGCGAACCTCGGGGATGGACAGAGCCCCCTTTGGCAAAACGCGGCTTCGTGAAAACGACCTCGGGCCCAAACCTGGCGGGCGTCAGCCTGGAAATTGACGGCCGCGGCGCCCTCTCGAGAACCGAGATCGGAGAACTCACTAGTCGACGTGTCAGGGAGGCCACCACGTCTGACACCCCCGCCCTCCTGGACCCTCTTTCTGATTCTGAGCTTTTCAAAAAACCCCCGCGCTACAAAGACCTGCGCCAACACCCGCCCGGCACCCACGCCGCGCCCCCCCACCACGTCTGACACCCCCACCCTCCTGGACCCTCTTCCTGAGCTCTTCAAGGCCCCCCCACCCTACAAAAACCTGTGCCGGCACCCGCCCGGCACGCACGCCGCGCACCCCCACCACGTCTGACGCCTCCACCCTCCTGGAGCCTCTTTCTGGGCTTCTAAACGACCTCCCACCGACTCCCCGCCCTACAAAAACCTGCGCCGGCACCCGGCCCGCACCCACACCGCGCCCCCCCACCACGTCTGACACCCCCATGACCCTCCTGGACCCTCTTTCTGATTCTGAGCTTTTCAAGGGCCCCCCACGCTACAAAGACCTGCGCCAGCACCCGCCCGGCACCCACACCGCGCCCCCCCTCCACGTCTGACACCCCCACCCTCCTGGACCCTCCGCCTGAGCTTGTCAAGGACCCCCCACGCTGCAAAAACCTGCGCCAGCACCCGCCCGGCCTGCACACCGCGCTCCCCCAACACGTCTGACATCTCAACCCTCCTGGAAACCCCTGAAATTCTGAACGACCTCCAACCCTGCAAAAACCTGCGCCGGCATCCGCCCGGCACCCACACCGCGCTTCATCCGCCACGTCTGACACCCCCAATTTTATCGACCTCTTTGTGAGCTTTTCAAGGACCCCCTAACTTCATGCAAAAATCAGCGCCGCGCCTGACACCCCCACTCTCCTGGGCGCTCTTTCCAAGCCTTTCAAGGACCTCCCGCCCTACACAAACCTGCGCCGGCACCCGCTCGGCACCCACGCCGCGCCCTCCCACCGCGTCGACACCCCCACCCTCCTGGACCCTCTCTGAGCTTTTCAAGGACCCCCCAACCTGCAAAAACATGCGCCGGCACCCGCCCGGCACCCGCACCGCGCCCCCCCACCGCGCTCGACACCCCCACCCTCCTGGACCCTCTTTCTAAGCTTTTCAAGGACCCCCCACCCTGCAAAAGCCTGCCCTGGCACCCGTCTGGCACCCACGCCGCGCCCCCCCACCACGTCTGACACCCGCTGCTCTTCTCGACGCTCTTCCTGAGCTTTTCAAAGGCCCCTCACCGCGCAAAAACCTGCGCCGGCACCCACACCGCGCCCTCCTTACCATGTCTGACACCCCCACCCCCTGCCATGAAGATCCATCTATGTTTTTTTAGCGCAGCTGCTTAGTTAGTAGTCGGCCTTAAAGTTAGCATCCTAACAATTTAGCGTCGACGCTACATTTTAGCGACGATCAGCGTCGACGCGTGCTCCAACACGGTATGACATTCGAAAAAGGAGGCGTGACCTCCTGAAGAGGGCGCGTGCGCCCTGGTGGAGCAGAAGGCGCCGCCCCTCCGCAGCGCTGTGGCGCGTGCACTTTTTCTGACCGCGCGCGCGGCTGTCACACGAGCCGCGCCATCGGCTGCACGCGGCGGCGCGCGATCACCGCTCGGGAGGAGCCCGTCGCTGAGAGCGGGGAGCCGCGCCTCTTCGCCACGTGGCCCACAGCGGGAAGCCGCGCCTCTTCGCCACGTGGCCCACGCTGCCCCCGAAGTCCTCGCCCCTGTCGGTCCAGCACAGCGACGGCTGCCCTCCCGCGAAGGCCATCTCGAGGAGCAGGTGCGCCTTCGGCTTGACGCGCCAATTCCTCGGCTGCAGCGCAGCAAGAGGCAAACAAGGTCACGAACCTGCTGGCGGAGTCGCGCACCAGATCCTTTCTGAAGACGCACTGGCCGCTCAACGTGCGGTAGCAGGAGTGCAAGTGGCGCATGGCGTTCAGCGCGGCGTCGTCCACGGCACCCCCAGAAACGCAATGCGCAATGCGTCTCGGCCGCTTCCTTGCAGAATGGGATCAGATGCCTCAAGATGGCCGCCTGGCCGCGGAACTTCGGGTGCGCTTTCTTGGGCTTCGCCGTGCGCTCGTTGAAGTCGTGGAGGCGGTCGGGCGTCGAGTGCGCGTCGCAATGCGCCTGGATGGCCCCCCGCATCTCGTCGCTCTGTTGCGCGCGGCGGCGCCCAGGGAGCTTCTTCATGATGTGCCAGAGCAAGGCCCCCACGAAGTCCGCCCCGACCCCCATGGTCCACGGCGCGCAGCCAGTCGACCTTGAACACGTCGATCGTGATGCCAGGGGTACTCAGCGCAGGCGAGACGCGGCCTGCGTTGCGCAGGATGATGGCGACCACGTCCTGCAGCGAGCGCCTGCTCGTTGGCCTCGCCCGCCGAGAACTCGTCGACGTCTGCGCCGTCACCTGGGGGGCGCGCAAAGGAGAGCGGGGGGGAAACAGGGAACGGAGAAACAAAGCAAGGTGTAACCAAGAAATCCTCCTCCTGCTCCTCCTCCTCCCCCTTCCTCCCCCTCCTCCTCCTCCTCCTCCCCCTCCTCCCCCCTCCGTGTTTGCGCGGGACCGGTCGCCTCCCCCGGGGGAATGTTGCACTTCCAGCAGCACCCGGAGCCCTCGTTCCAGGCGTATTTTTTTAGAAAAAAATAATTCTTTCCACGCTTTCCAGCCCGCGCGAAACTGCACCAGGGCACCGCGGGCTGGCAAGGGGGGGCCCATCGAGGGCCCTGCGGTCGGCCCACGCTTGTTGAGCTTTATCCGAGGGGCGCGAGAACGGCGTCTCGCCGCGCCGCTCTCGCGGGCAGAAGCCTCTCCACAAGGACAGAAAACTCCATTGTATGGTGCCGAAGATGTCGCGCCAGGCGCTCGTGGACAAGTGGCTCTTCAAAATGCTGAACAATGGGATTCTCAAATTGCCGCAGGGTCCGTCGGGGCCAAGGCCAGGCAAGTTCATGCTGAGGACTTCGACCGGCGCAGATCTGCCCCACTTGGTGGGGGCCCCGTCCTGCCACAGGCCGATGGCCACCGCGGGGCTGCCCAGCTTCGCTTCCACGCCCTGCATGTGCGCGCGGTCGCCCTCATCCAGCCCGTGCTCCTGCAGCGGCACGTCCACGTCGCCGTGCCTCCCCAGCGCCGGGAGGACCTCGCGCGGTAGCAAGAGGGGCACTTCCTGTGTCTCTTCTTGACGACGCTTGGTGTTCCACACGCGGACCTTTGCCGCGTACTCCTGCGGCCACAACGTTCCCTTGAGAAACTTCCTCCTTAAGGTCCTGCACATGTTGGCACGTCCCACTCTCAGGCCCCCAACGCCCGCGGCCCCCCCTTCCTCGGCGTCGGCGGCGAGCCTTCGCATGTCGCCCGAGGACAGAGCATCCCTCATCATGTGCGTCTGCAAGGTGGCGCGAACGTGCTTTGCAGGCGGCAGCGCGCTGGTGCCCGCCGCCGGCTGGCGCTTCGAGAACATGGCGGCGCGCCCGCCCCGCGGCCCGCCAGGCGCCCGTCGTCTGAAACAGCTTCGGGCGAAGGCGGCATCCGAAGCAGGAGGGGGCGGGGGGCAATCCAACTTCAATTCGAAGTTCGAAGTTCGAAGTTCGAAGTTCGAATTCCGAACCTCGAACTTCGAACGCGCGCTTCGCAGGAGGCAGCGCCCCCTTGCCCCCCCCCCCCGCCCGCCCACTCCTCAGCGGGGGAACTCGCCCCCACGCGTCCCCATGAGCTGCGACATCTCCCGCCAGACACAGCGCTGTCGCGCGAAGCGGCGCGCGCGCGAGGCGCCGCGCCTCCTTGCTTCGCCGCGCTTCTTTTTTGTCGGCCAGCCGCAGTCGCAGGCAGTTGCTTTTGTGCGCTGGCGGGGGCGCTGCCCGCGGCTGCTCGCTCGTTCCCCCCCCCCCCCCTCCCCCCGCTCCCGGACCCCCATCGGCCCCGCCATCATTCCCCCCCCCTCGCTCCCCCCCCCCCCCCCCCCCCACGCGCCATTCCCCTCCCCCGCGGGCCGCTCACTTCGCGCCCTTCCAACGCTTCGCGCGGATCTTGCCGCCCTCCAAGTGCATCTCCGCGAGCGCGACCTGGACTGGCGACGCATGCCTCGTCTTCCTCATCATCTCGTCGTCGGGTTCGCCCTCGGGGATGCATGCCGCCTCGGCCAGCAGATGCTCTGCAGCGTCGAGGAAGTCGCTCAGCGCTTTGTGCGCGGGCCTGACCTCGTCGCCGTTGGCGCGCCACTTGTCGTCGTCGTCTCTCTCTTCGCCTTGGCATCGAAACTCAGCATCAACTCTTTCGTGTCCTTCTGCTGCCTCTGCAGGGCGGCCGCCTTCTGCCTGCGGCGGCGCGGGGGGATAAGAGGGACAAAAGGGAAACATGAGAGGGGGGGGCGGAGGAGGCCGGGGCAATGCGTGGAAGTTGCAGGGAGAATTGGAGTTCCCATCCTGAGCGCTTCTCACTTTTCGGCCATGTCGCGGTACTCTTGGCTCTCCATCCCCACGTCGCCGCCCCCCTGCCCCGCGGGCGCGGCCCCCCGAGCCATGTCCTCCAGCGCACCCTTGCTTGTCTTCCCATAGTCTTTGTATGAGGCCCACTGCTCTCCCGTCCTCTCCTCGGCTGCGGTCTGCAGACCATCGCCGATGACGTAAAAATATAATGAATCAATGATTTCTTCCGTGTCCATCTGGGGCGGGTGGGATGCTGCCGTCTTGTGCTTCTCAGCGTTCTTGCGCCACTTGTTGCGAGCCCAATCGCACCCCGCCGACGCGGTGGGGAAGTTCCCCAGGTTGACCCCGAACTCCTGCATCAGCTGCGTGACTGTGACCCATTCCTGTCTGCTGTTTGTCGACTCCCTGTTCGAGGACTCATAAACGGCTGTGAAGGAATGCGCCAGGTCCTTCAGCTTCTTGGTGTCTTTCTCGCCCTTCTCCTTCTCGGTCATAAACGTGTCGTAGAACTCCTTCTGCTTCTGCTCGCCGAATTGCTTGAACGTTGCAAGGGCGATGCTGCGCTCCTTCCCGTAGTCGCTCTGGGCATTTCCATCTTTCGCGTTGTGCCGGAGGTGGTTCATGAGGTACGTGTTTTGCGCGTTCGTCAGGGAATCTGGCGGCGGGGGGGGCGAGCTCTTCTTGGCCTTCGGGGGCGGCCTCTCCGCGCTCCCAGCGGCGCCGCCTCCTCCAGGCCGTTTGCGCTGGAGGCGGGCCCTTCGGCTTCCCAGCCGCGCCGCGTCCTGCAGGTGCCTTCGCTGGAGGCGGGCTCTTCGCTGGAGGCGGGTCCTTCGGTTCCCCCTTTGCTTTGCCCTTTGCTTTTCCCTTTGCCGTTGGCGCCATGCACGCCAAGTAAGCGCTCGAGGCAGGGGAATTCACGAGCGAAAGCAACAACAGCATCTGGCGAATCTTCTGGAAGCGACAGAAACACGCGGTTGACGGACACTGGAAATCCGAGCCTCGGACGCGGCCGCGGCAGGCGCCGACGCTGCGGCGGCGCCTGCATAAACGAAGAGGCGCGGCCTCCTGCCAAGAAGAGGCGCGGCCTCCAGCGCCTGCCCTCCGCGGCCGTGCGATGCAGGAGGCGTCGCCTCCTTGCCCCCCCGCATCCCCCCCCCCCCTTTCGCCCGCCCCGCCCCGTCCGAACGCCGAGGACTCAATCAGCTGAGTTTGCGATCTCTGTCGCAGTTCTCGGCGCCTTTTCGAGCCATGGGGTCGCAGGCGAGCGCGCGCTGGACGGGGTGCTCGCGCCGTCAGGCGGGGCAAAAATCCGCGGCTGCGCCGTTCCAGGAACGCGGCGAGAAGCAGGGGGCCCCGCAACCACAAGTCAACTGGGCGTACCAGGACACCAGCGCGGAAAGAAAAAGAGAGAAAGGAAGGGGAGGGGAAGGGAAACCGTTCGAATTGCGCTCGCCCTCGCAGAGGAGCCGGAGCAGGCGGGGCGGATCACCGCGCCCGATGGCCCGACGCAGGCGTTGGAGCTTGCGTGGAAGAAGGGGGAGCGGCTGGCGCACTACACGGCCCGATCTCTCCTTCCTCCGTTTTGCCCCCCCCCCCCCCCCCCCATGCCCTAATCCCCACTTCCCCCTCCCCCCCAGGTCGGCCGCCACGCGTGCGAAGCGGACTTGTGGGCGTTCCAGCGTCGGAACGCAAACCCGAGCCTGCATATGTGGTACCATCCCATCAGGCGCTCGCTCCCCCCTCCTCCCTCCTCCTCCCACCGCCCCCCCTCATCCGCGCTCCTCCGTCCCTCTTCTTTTCGTCCCTGCTCAGGCGCCAGGTGGCCATGTCGCCGAACTTCTGAGGGCTGCGGCAAGCGTCGGACAGCGCCCTGTTCTTCTCTGGTACTTCCAGCGCGAAGCTCCTCCTGTGGCCCCTTAAACGCGCAACATTATCTTATCTTCTCTCCTTCTGGAGGCTGAGCCCCCAGCGCAGGAGGCATCGCCTCCAATGCAAAAACAAAAAAGGCTTCGCCTCCTCGGCCCCTCGCAGCCCCCCCCCCCTTGCCCCTGAAAACCGAGCGCGCATTTCAACGCGCTGATGTTGGAGCACAAACTTACAAGGAAACGCAAAACGCAACCAAAAAAAACATAACAATACAACATCGTTGTAATAATAATAAAATACTACAATCAACTAGCTGATACATTTAAAAAGTACACAAAAACAAATAGAACACATTTAAAAACCTTCAACAATACAAAAATACAAAAATACAAAATCAAACGTGAACCCATACATTCAATAGTTTGTTGAACCAAAGAACAAAATACAATGCATTTACATCGCGCGGATTTTAGCATCAACACAATAATAATAATAATAATACAAAAAAGCATTCGGCTTGCATGTACTTCGTCGTTTTCTCAGGCCGCATCGAGTGCGCGGCTCAGAAAGTTGCCGCCGCGGACGCCGCCCACGGCGGCGCGCGCCTCCTCAGCAAAGGGGCGGGGGGGAGAAGCGGCAGGAACAGAGGAGGAGCGATGGGGAAAGGGGAAGTGTAAGCCAAGTGAAATGTAAAGAGAGGGGATTGTGGAGGGGGAGGGTCTGCCTTTCTCTTCGAGGAGGCGGCGCCCCCTTACCACCCTCCTCCTCGCCCCTTCCACATCCCCAAGTCCTCCGGGCGCCGCGTCGCCGCCTGCGGGGCACTCGGGGGTTCGACCTTCCAAGGCAATCCCACGACGAGGCGATTCTACGAGAACCTTTTGTCGCCTCGACGCGGGGCCGCTCAGGAAGGGAAACCTCTCGAAGGCCCAATCGCCTCAGAGGTGGTCGCTCTGCGGCAACCCGAACCTTTCGCGCGGCGTCTGGATGCTCATAGCGATCTGGTCGGCCTGCTGCTGGAGGCGGCTCTGCGGCTGCTGAAGGAGCCCCATCGCCTCCACCAGCTGCGGTTGCTCAGTCGGCTGCTCCTGCTGCGGCTGTTGCTGCTCCGCGTCGGCGCCAGGTGCTGTTGCTGCTGCTGCGGCTGCAGGCTGCTGCGTCTCCTGCTGCATCTCCGCCGCCTGCTGCTGATCCGCCGCCTGCTGCTGATGCGCCTGCTGCTGCTGCGCAGCCCAGGCGGCGTGTTGCTGCTGCGCGTGCTGCTGCTGTTGCGCGCGCTGCTGCGGCTGCTGCGCGGCCGCCTGCTGTTGCTCGTGCTGCTGCTGCGCGGCCGTCTGCTGTTGATCGTGCTGCTGCTGCGCGGCCGTATGCTGTTGATCTTGCTGCTGTTGATATTGCCGGTGCTGCGCAGCCCAGACAGCCGTCGTGGCCTGAGTCGGCACCTGCGGCGGGAAGCTCTGCAGGAGGTCGCCTCCTGATAAATTTGGCGCGGCCCACCATTGCTGCCAGGGCGGCGCCGCAGCGCCAGGAGGCGGTGCTGCGCTCGGCGCCTTGCTTGTCGCCGCCAGGTATTTCTTCTGCGGCGCCTCGGAGCCGAAGAGGCCACCCTGGGCTGGCTGCCGCCAGCCCGAGCTGGGCGATGCTGGTGCTGCTGCTGCAGCCTCTGCTGCTGGAGCTGTTGCTCCTGCTGCTGATGCAGCCTCTGCTGCTGGAGCTGTTGCTGCTGCCCCGAACTGCTGGTGCTGCTGGAGCTGCTGCCGGAGCTGCTGCTGCAGGCCTTCCAGGCCCTGTGCCTGTGCTGCTGCATCTCCTGCTGCGTCCACTGCTGCGGCTGCGGCTGCTACTGCTGCGCCGTCTGCTGGAGCTGCTGCTGCTGCAGTGTCTGCTGCTGGAGCTGTTGCTGCTGCTGCTGCTGCAGACTCTGGCGCAGGCGAGGCGGCCGCCGCTGCACGCCGAGGGGCAGGCTTGGAAGGTGGCTTCCGAGACGGCGTGCGCGGGCGGCGTGGCGCCGCCCAGGGCGCCACTCCCTGCGGGCGGTGGCGGCGGCGGTGCACCAGCACGTCGGAGCTCACCTGGGCGGAGAGGGGATGCTGCAGGAGGCGGCGCCTCCTCAAGTACCATGTCCGTCTCGAGCTCGACGTTCGAAGTTCGAAACTCGACATCCGAATTTCGAACTTTGAATTTCGAACGTCGAACTCGGAGGATTGAACTTCGAAATCACCCCGACACCTTCTGTCGCGTCCTCCGCGGCGCAGCATCCGCCTCCTCCATCTCCGCGGCGAGCGACGCCTCCACGACGCGCTTCTTGCTCAAGAACCTGAGCATGGATGTTTGCATATGTTTTTTTTGTTTTTCCGGAGGCGCTGCCTCCGTGCGAAATTAGCCCGGCGAAAAACCCAGCCATATGCAGTTGTGAGTACTGCAATTGTGAATATCTTCTTCGGTGGCGCTCCCTATGGGGCCACGAAGCGCTGTGCTGGGTGGGCGAAACGCATGGAGCAAAGGCTGTGCTGGGTGGTGGCGGACGCGCGCGGGCGGTGCCATTGGGACCTTCGCTAGAGCTCCTGATTGGGCCACGAAGCGCTGTACTAGGTGGTTGAAGCGCAGGGGGCAAGGGTTGCGCTGGGCGGTGGCTGACGCACGCGGGCGGCGCGACTGGGACTGGAGATGACTCTGTGCGGGGGGGGAAAGTCCGGCGGACATCATGATATTCCAGGCGTAGGGGGCCCGACGCGCGCGCGCGTCTGCAGGGCAGCGCGGGCGTCGGGGACACGGTGCGCATCAGGCGCGGCCCCGTCGCGGCGCACACCGACAAGACCCGCTTCCACTACACCTCGCGCTCGCCCATGTTCCTGAAGGCGCAGAGCGACGCGACCATGGAGCGCATGGAGAACAAGCCAGAGTTTTTGAAGTACCACCCCACCACGCCCATCTCGTCGTTGCCGCTGCTGCCGCCCCGGTCTCTGGCTGCCAGCGGCGGCAGCCCCAGCGACCGCTCGCGCTTGGCCCCCTGCCTGCGGCCGCGCTGTTCCTGGGGGGCCTCCGGGGTGCGCAGCTCGTCTACCCGGCGCCGGGGCCAGTCGGGGGCAGCGCGCTCAAGAGAAGCGGGCTCGTCGGCGGCCTCTTCTCCCAGAGAGTCGCCCTCGCCGGCCCCCCGCTCGGCTTCGCCGCGCGGGCCAGCCCCCCCCCGCCAGCGGCCGCGGCTCGCAAGCGCGACCCCGCCGACCCTCGAGGACTCACAGAGCCGAAGCTGCAGCCGCAGATCGGTCGGCGGTCTGCCAAGTCTCGAGCCTGGCGGCCAAGCGCTTCCAGAAGCGCTGCCCCCGCGGCAGGGCGGCGGCCGCTGCGCGGCCCTCGTAGAGCCTCTTCGCGTCGAGCAGGCGTCGGCGTAGCTTCTTATAATCGCTAAGGGCGTCGTCAAACTCGACCGGCGGAACGCCGCAGCTGGCGCGCCCGCCGGCCACGCCGAGGGGGCGCCCCCGGACAAACTGCAAGCCCGATCGAGCGCCGGGGCCCGGGATGCACCCGTCCTGCTTCTTGAAGCCGCCAGCCAGCTCCTCCGCCAGCGTGTGCAAAGCGACTGCGTTCTTGCCGAGCATGCCGCCGTGCGCGCGGCTCCTTGAAATGCAGAAAGTCCGCCCCCAGTCACCCTTGAGCTCCAGCGAGCATTTACCTTCGGTCTTGAGGATGGCTTCCAGCCGGGCTTGCTTCCGTTCCTCTTTCTGCTGGGCATCCAGGTAGTAGGAGCGTTCGTCGAAGCTGTCCGTGAATGGCTCCCCTGTGAAGTCTCGCGCCAGAGCGATGATCCGAGAGCCCTTCACGTTCTCCTCGCCGCGCGTCTGCTC